AATGTAGCAGAATGTATTAATATTCAATAAAGAAAGTAAAAAAATAAATAAATAATAATATTTTATAGTTCTATTATCAGATTATATTACCAATTTAAATTTGATAACCGCTAACTAGGACTCCATCTGGACAAACGACAAACTTGGAATCCTCATACCAGACTGAAACGACAAGAAACCGCTCCACGTTTCCGATTACTTCAGCACTTGCTAGATAAACGCTCTAAACTTCCAATTAATTACAAAATACTCATATATATGACAATAATAAGGCCTATTTGGACTTAGGGAGTTGAGCTATGGGGCTCCACTAAACCATCGAATTCCTCTTGTATGAAATCATTACAATCCAAAATCCTTCGTAAAATCATCGATTCTTCCTACTTTGTTACAAATATAAACATCCATAATGACCTTAATGTTTCTTTTGTTTCAGATCTGGCCTAATCCGGATACCTATCGTTCCATAATAAACTTCAGAATCATTCCAACCCTCTCATTTTTAACCTCGCTTCCTCTTCAATTCCTGATAACCCTCCGAGGCGTCTGAAAAGAAGATGGCCCCGTGATCTTATAATGTAGACATATCATTAGAGTGCTACCATTGGGTAGTTACTAAGCAAGTGTTTTCATGTCATTATATCCATATGTTCAAATTTACTAGATGTATTTATATAATACAGTTGTAAATATCATTAAGAAATAATTTTTTTTAAATATTTTATTTTATTGAGATTTACAATTGTATTACATAGAATATACAATAAGTAAATGTGCCATTGGTAACATGGCATGTACAATATGAAGAGAAACTACCCATTGCTAGAACTCAACTTAGATATTAGAAGGTCCCGAGGCCATATTCTTTTCAGACGCCTCGAAGATTATCAGGGATCGAGGAGGAAGCAAGGCTTGAAACGAGATGATTCGGATGGTTCTGCAGTTTGTTATGGAAGGATAGATATCTGGATTGGGCCAAATCGGAAACATATGGAACATTAAGATCTTTAATAATGATTTTATTTGTGACAAAGTAAGAAGCGTTGAGGATTTTACGAAGGATTTTGGATTGTAAGGATTGGATACGAGAGGAATGCGATGGTTTAGTGGAGCCCCAAAGCTCAATTCGTTAAGTCCAAATAGGCCTTATTATTGTCATATATTTGAGTCGTTTGTAATTGATTGTGAGCTTAAAGCGTTTGTCTAGTAAGTGCTGCAGTAGTCGAAAACGTCGGGCGGTTTCTAGTCGTTTCAGTCTGGTATGGGGGTTTAAGAAATAATTTAAAAAAAAATTGATGGTTGTATTTTTAGTTTAATATAAAGTTCAATAAATAAATTTTAAAAAACATTTTTTTTTTTTTTTGGTACCTTCCTGTACTCAAATAGCATGCCTGATATTCCGAAAGATTTCATTTTTGTTAACTTTTGATAATTAAGACTCGGCTAGACCTGCTATCAACGGACGGACTGAAAAAGAGGACACTAATAAATTTCGAGATAGGAGTGGTCCTTCCGCAGGCCTATCTCTGGGAGCTGTCCGTCTGTCCTTCCTGCATCCTGGAACCCGCCCCAGAATAAATCTCCTTTCTATCTAAGTGTCCTCTGTAGTAATAACCGAAGGGGCTAAGTTCTCTGAGCTATAAGTAAATTTTGATTAAATAAAGAAATTTGAAAATTATAAACCAATAAAAAAACATAGAAAAAGCCGCTATAAAGTATACATTGTCCTCTTAGGCTCATTCTCATGGTAGAAAAAAATTGCTATTAGTTCAGGGTTTTTTTTGCGAAGTTTTACAGGTTTATAATAATAAATGTACGCTTACCTTGTTATTAGTATCATGGATCATGAAATTATTACTTGATGAAATCAAACAGAAATTGGCAAACAAAGTTCTACTGTTGATTTTACAAACTTCAATTCGTTTTTACCTGTTGTTGGGGCGAGAGGCATTTCGCAATTGAAATACAGTTCTTTCCCCGGTGAAATTTTCTTAATTTTCCCAAACGAATTGTGTATATATAATGGGTATATGGATATATATAATATATAATGGGGATATATAATTTTAATACCTATTTCAGAAAAGTTTTTTTGTCTTTATATATGTCCATTAGGAAACAAAAAAAAAATCATAATGGAAGATGATCCGGGCTGGCGGTCATAAATAGGCTAAATAGTGGTAAAGCTATTTTCTTAAAAGCCAACGTTTTGACCCGACTTCCCAAATACCTGCCTTTACCCTGGTTTTCCAGTTCTAAGTGAAACTCCTAGCTGAACACACATGTAAGTCTCTAATTTTATTCTTCTAATTTTATTTAATTTTCTTTTTCTTTTCTTTCCCCACATTCCTTAATGACTATTATTATATCCCTTTTTCCTTTCCTTTCAATCTCTCCTGTAGATCTGTAGAAGTATATTCACGTTTGCATTTATTATATATTAGACTACAATTGTTAGCATCTATTTACTTTAGTTTAGGATCTTGTTACTTAGCTTACTCTGTTCATATTTGAATGTACTTACTGTTTATAATTTTAATAAACTTATTCACATTATTTATAATTTTTGTCTTAATATTATGTAACATCCACAATTCTCTATCTTTCTTTATCTTGTCCGTTCTAGCCCTGAAGAAGACCTGCAAAGTCGGGTAGAAACGTTGGCTTTTAATATAATAGTTTTACCAATATTTAGCCTATTTATGACCACCACCTCGGACCATCTCCTTCCTTTATAATGCAACGGTCAACTATTAAATATTAAAAAAAAATCATATTAGATTTGTTTTCCTGAAAATTGATCAAAGAAGAGATTTGAGTACGATTTCTTCGATAAACTAAAGCAACGTAAACGAACTTGTAATACACTCTAATATTACAAATAAAAAATATTTGGCACAGCCTAATGTTTTCAAACATCCTCTGTTAAAAGTAGAGGAATCAGAGAAACTTGTGTGATTTCGGGACTAAAGTTTTTTCAAACATACAGATCCTTCGAAAACCTCATATCGGAAATTTGACCCGATCGCAATACTTTACCTACCTATTATAGGTAAGAAAGTAATAAATTAAAAATGTATAGAAAATAGAATACGCTGTGTCATTGCTAATACTGCTGCGATTCCTATTATTTTTATTTTTGTTTTGTACGCAATTTAATTACCTTTCAAAAGTTTTTATATAAATTTTACCATAGAATATATACATAGCGAGTTAGCTCCCAAAACATGTACAAACATTAAAATGACATTAATTAGAGACTCGTAGGAAAGTTTCATCAAAATTGCCAAAGCCGTTTTTGTGCTACAGTGTACAGATAAAAAGAAAAGAATGTGTTTTTCACTAATTGCGGAGCCGCTATTGCGCAAGAAGCACTCAATTTGTGTCACAGACATCAGTTGTCAAAACCCTATAAAAAAAAAACTAAATCGGTCATCTAGTTCCCGAGGTACTCTTGGCACAGACAGACAGACCAATGACTGAAATGAGTTTTTCGGACTGTGGGAGCTCTGAAACATCCGTCGAAAACCGCACATGGGTTATTTGACCCGATCTCAATCCTTACCCAGTACAGGTATGAAAGTTTAGCTGTAAAGAGGAAAAATGTCGTATCGTTCATTTACTAAACTGGAGGGTTATTTTCCAATAGGGCAGGCTAATCATTATTAAAATATTAATTCAGATTTTTGTCTTGAATGGACTATCTTGGCATTATAATATATTGTATATAAAAAAAACTTGTTTCGCTGATGTTATATATATTGAATGAATTACAGAAAATGATATTTACCTACTGTGTGAATTATGTTATGCTATGTATTCAACATAACAAATAAGTTTTTAAAAATTATTTATGGCGAAAACACAGTTTAAATCGACTTCTGACATCAAAAAAAGCTTCAAGGGTCAGAGAGCAGGTAGATAAGAACCGACCTATACCTGAACCCGGGGTAGGCTCAGAGTAAAAACTAATAATGGGCTAAATAACTGGTTCCTTTTAGGTTGTTACCAGTTATTGTGAAGTAATAGGGTGATGTTAAGAACTAATGAAAACCATTCATGCCCCACCCTGAATATATGCATATAATAAGCCGAGAAGTAAGAAAAGAGGTCTTATGTTGATGTCCGGCCTTGGGCTTAGGTCTTATGTTGAGTTCCGGCCTTGATGATGGATATTATGTTTTCTTCCGGCTTAGGGACTGAAGCCTTGGCCCTACATAGACTATGACAGATGACCGTCTTGAGAAGTTTTTGGACTTGGGCTCGACCAGATGAGTTCGGATCAGCAGATGCAGCGGTGAAATCTACCAACCACAAAACTTCATATACAATAGATAAGCGTTATTCCCAACAATAAATTTACCAATGCTAGAATATTTCATGGCAATATAACTCTCAAATAGTCCATCTGAAATCACAGTTAATTATTAAATTCTTCGAATCATGTATTTAGTTTATAGTATATAGTATTTGAACATTGAAATTTCTAAGTTATTTGTATATAATTCTTTATTAAACATAGAAATAAATTAATTTGTTTACTAAAAGTTATTTTAATTCTGCCACCCACATATATCATGATAATCACAGGCAATGTTGGTAATTAGAAAGCATGATAAACACAAACCAGCCTTTGGTAAAAGAAATCCAATTAATTAGTTATGGACCAATCAATATATTATAGATCCAATTTTATTTTACTAATGTTTTATTAAACATTTCTGGATAATTATCATCATTAATTATCCAGTGGCATCCCGATAAATTTCACACACCCCAAAACGTAGCAGTTATGATTATCTGATATAATTCTAAGTAATATTGATTATGTTGATAGTTCGTAACATTAGTAACTTAAACTGACAATAATTGACATGGCTACATACTTGTGGGTTCGAATTTATAAATTTAAATTCTTAAATAACTCTACGTAAATTTCTCCTACTGTCATTTTATTCTTTCTTCGCTGATGTATGGTCGTCCCGGAGTAATATGACCGGTTCGCCGAGGCGGATCGTCCGGGTTGCCACTAATGTGTAAGGCCGAACCGCCGAAGAAGTGACCCATGGCCTCGGACGTGGATGCGCAGTCAAAAGAGGCCAAGAAGGCGCTATCGACCTGAAGAGGACGGACGGTAGCTCTTTAATAGGAGGCGGCGATAAATCCAAGGGGTGGCACCATAATGGGCTCGCCGATGATTTAAGCACCACCCTAATGGGTCCCATAAATAGGCGCTCCCTCGATAAGCCAATCACACCTCTCCTTACCTTCAACGCCCCGCCCCCAGGCCGGCTCATAAATTATGTTTATGCTCTCTCCGCTTCCTTGCTTGAGTGAAAAACCGCTGGCGGTGAAGTATCGACGATCCCAGGCGTAGGAGGATATCCGAAGGGGAACGGAAAATTCAACGGCCCACATGGTTCAGGTGATCTACTGTCGGAGAAGAGAAGGGTGAGGAGTAACGGAATACAGCTCGGGAATAGAGGAGATAAATATTTCGTTTCACGATATTTGTTCTGAAGGTGTCGGATGGAAAAAATCTGATGTTCAGGGTGAATTCTGATTTCTGTTATAAAAATTGTATCCCTTCCAGAAGTTATCTTTTTATTTGTATAAAGAATGGTATCAACCATTAGATCAAAAAAGTATAAATTTAATATTATAACAAAAAATTTTACAGTTGATATAACCCACATCAGCTATTAGATTTCCAGTACATACAATCCAGGCAGATTGGATTAGCAGACCTCCCAACTTAGTGAAATAAGATAACCACACTTGCAAATGTTTTCGTTTTTTTCGAGAAAGCATTTAACTTAACTAAATAAAATAAGTTTATCGTTAGCCTTCCCAGTAGAAGCCCCATAATTGACAGTGACATAGGTCTGTCAAAATAAAATTACACAAATGAAACACCTGAGGAGTTTTCCAAGATGGCCTGTTATTCGTCATTGTTATCCATTCAAGGAACAGCTTACTTAAAAAATTGATTCTTTTATCCAGCCACTGATAGATAGGGTCATTGATTACAGTTCTAACAAATTCACGTCTACTAGAGAAAGAAGGAGTTAAACATCCTGCATTCATTAAAGCTTAATCATATATCTATTCAAAGTATTATTATAACATCAATTTGCATTTTTATCTTTTTATAGAGATATGATTCCGTTATTGAGTGAACGTTAAAGGAATAAATAAATTTTATAATGAGGTCCTGGTTAATTTCTGCTACCTACATATGCCATTGGTATATTGGTAATGCACGTAATTTGAACTGAAAAATACAAAACAAATCTTAGTCAAAGTAATCCAATTGAACCTGGAACAAAAAGTATAATACCTATATATTTCAATATTTTTATATTTTAAATAGTTGTGAATAATTAGTCACAGTAAGCATCCAAAGGCATCCCAATAAATAATTTTTAAGAGCATTCATATAGTCAATGCTTAAGAAACAGTGTGTCTTAATCACGATGAAACCACTGTTCATGAAAAACTTGGAAGAGAATTTCTACACTACTGATCCCCGATGACGAACTGGGTAAATAAGTAAGTACCATTATCGTTACCTATAATAAAACCTTGTTATATTTCGAATATATGCAATACAAAATTCAATAATACTATATTTTATTTATGAAATAAGAATAGATTTAAATCAAATCATCTTGAAACAGTGCACATCAACTTATAAGGGAGTTTGTCAACTGCTATAGAGCATATTTACCTTATAAGACGATATTAACACAAGATATTGAAACATATTGTTCTATAAAAAATTTGAAATTACCGTATATATTTTATGCTGTGGTTGAAGATTAAAAAAAAGTTACGTCAAATGAGAAATATACAGCAATTGCGCTTAGATTATAGATATAAGTATCTTTAATTAATTGCCACATTCTCATATTAATATTTTTTTTTTACGAAATAACTTGCTTTAGAAGAACCTTTTAGTAAAATTTATTACAATTTTATTTCAATTAAAAATCTAAAAGGCTCGGTAAATCCCTTTTCCAAGAGAAAAAAAAATACTGATTCCTAAATTTTACAAAAAAAAAAAAAAAAATGAAATTTCCATTCCAAGTCCTGATTTTGTTTTCATTTATTTTATTAATTTTCTTTGAGAGTTTTTTTTTTAGTACTTTTTCAATTAAAATGAGAAAGAGTTTAAAAAAAGTCAAACAAAAGCTTGAAACGTCATTTTTTAAAATTTGCTTTTATATTGTAAATATGGTTTTAATTTTTGTAATTACGATTGTGAATAAACTTGTTTACAAAAAAAAAAACATATAAAATTATTGGAAAACCAACAACCTCTGATGATGACTGAAAACCATTGAAAACTAAAATGACATTATTTATATTCATAGCTACAGGTAAACATTTTTTAGAATTATTTTATTGAATATTAATACATTCTGCCACATTGAAGGGTATTAATATTAAGGCTACATTAATCATTCACACAATATGTACATACAAATAATAACTAAGATAGAGATAATAAAGAAAAAGAAATATAGAAAAATAAAATGAGTAAATTAATATGCCTGGGAAATAAAATGAAATAATAGAATAAAAATTTATAAATAGGAACAAATTTTATTTATATTTAATATTCGTAGCATCAAGTGGTCTAAATTCGACCAATTTAATAGTGATCATTAAAACAAATTAATTTGTTTCTTTCCAACAAATTAGTATATTCGTATATCCACTTGTACTTACAAAAGAAAAGAATGGAGCACCATTTTTGTACATTTTGAGTTAATGGGAAATAAAAATATGAGCCCATAGTTACTTCTTTAAAATAAATCGTAACGAAAGGCTGGATGGTAATAAAATGTTTATAAGAACACTCCTGAATTTGATTGCAGCGTTGTTTTGAAATTTCGAAACAGTCACTAAAGAACTTTCGGAGATTAGCGGTTTTAAACATATTAACATTTATAAATAAACATTGGTTCCAAATTCGTTCTATTGATAACACTAAAACTCATAAATAGCTATTAAACAAAAAAAAAAAAAAGAAAATGAAAATCGGTTGAGGCAGAGAAAAGAAAAAGGGACTGAGCTATTTTGCTATTACCTATTTATATAATGATCTATTTATTTATTTTTTAAACAATCTTTTGACCACCGCAGTAATTTTTAAACAGTGACAGCTCGAGGAACGGCCGAAAAGACAATTCTCGGCCACTACAGTAAATCCGAAGTTGGTGTTTCCAATCACGATTTCCATTATATCTCAAGTGTTCTTGGTCATATCCGGTTTCTTCGATCTTCACCAAGTTGACTGTTCCGGATGGAGGATCATTATGTCGGACAGTGGGCTTGGAATCACAACTATTACGAAATACAGAACTAAACAAAGTTCCTTTCTGTAAGGATCGAACGGGAAAATAAGTGGGAACAATTTGTTGTGTGCAAATTATGGACAGATAATTATTCACAAACATGAATGTTTTTCAAGATGATTCATTTTATTTTAAATAATTTTTTTTAGATGAATTTATATCTTATTCGAAAATTAGTTAATTTTTATTGGTGTATGTATGTATTAATTAAAGAATATTTGTCGATATTAAGTCTTTATTTTATTGTTGTTCTTTTTTTTTTTTCCTTTTTAATTATTTTAGTTTGTATACGCCGATAGCTTTTGAGATCGAGTACTTAAGAATATCTTGGAGGGTATTTTTTTTATTAAGACGTGTAAAACTAGTATTGCCCAAATGCGGGAACGAGACGAATCTTGGTCTTGCAAACTCATTCTTGGTCATGGTCTTGGTCTTGCGCAAGGGTCTCGCAACAATCTTGCAGTTACTTATTAGCTTATGACTGAAGAGATATTAATGCAATTTTTTAGATAGGAGAAACCTAGCTAAACCCGAATGAAAAATTAGAAGAGTTTAATGTAAAAGTATATTGGTTAGATCAATTCTTTACATTAATAGTAACTAAGATTGTCGAGTATTATTAACGATTTTGTCTTAATTTTTATTGAAGAAATCATTTTTTATTTGCCAGTCCTGGTCTTGGTCTTGCAACAGTTAGATTTTGGACAACACTATGTAAAACACTTCTTCAAACTTAGTTTTCTGGAAAACTTTGAGTTAGCCTTTAAATTGCTGTAAGAAAATGTTAAAATAGAATTTAAAAACAAAAAACCGTACCACTACAGCCCATAAAGGGTCTGGGGTTCAGTACTATTTAGGGAAAGCACTGTTTCTAGGTCAACGGTTGTGCAAGGAGGTGATTTGACCGATATCACGCTCAACCGCCAGGTTTTCCCCTTAATCAATTTTTTAATTAAGGGTATCCACTTTATAGAGGCTGGGTGTGCCACAGGAGAGTCTCCCAGGGTCGCCCCACGGCTAATGAAACAGATAAATAAATTTTCGGCCATGAGCCGGGGTTCGAACCTGGGACCTTTAGCATTGGAAGCTCAGTACCCTACCACTGAGCTACCCCACTCCCTAAAATAGAATTAGTTTTCTAAAAGAAAAAAAATAGATGATCAATAGGTTTACCACTGGGAGATCCATAATGAGAATTATTTGTGGTAACCAAACATTTCTTCATTCGATTCACCAAAATTTGAAGTGGCAAAAGATCCAACTATACATTTTGTTTCGGAAATATAATTATTTTAATAAAGTAAGACATATTTATGTATATGTTTTTTTTTCTTTTTTTTTTTTTTTTTTTGTTTAGGCTGTAAATTCGTAAATGACAGACAAAATCGGTCTCTATCACGACTTCCATATTTTGGTGTCATGGCGTAAAAAGGATGGTCGCTCGGACGGATCCGTAATTATCTGAAGCAATCAAGGAGACAATTAATACGACTAGATGATTCTATTAACGCTGGTGACTACAGGAGAGGTGACATGACAGCGGATCTCAATGTGACTGACAGGTCTCCAGATTGCGCCGCTTCTGTTCCTGCTAAAGTCCTTTAGTCCTCTAACTCAAGTTTGGGTTAATATAACGCGCCAACAGCGTTAGTGAAATTTGACCGAAATAGAAAAAAATAATTACTTGACCTACCATAGGAATTTCTTGAAATACCTCAGGACACTTATAGGTCAGTCAAATTAGCACAAAAGCTAGGCTTAGGCTTAGGCTCGGAGATCTTGAATGAATAAATTTTTGAAATGCTGAGTAAAACCATGTGTGTATTTAATTAGTTATTTTGATTTGTTTAGTTTCTTTTTATTTTGTTTATATACATTTAATTTTAGTACTATTATTTTGCTCTTTACTTATTTTTATTTCATGAAATTAGTGTGACTGAGCTACTCTTACGTCACTATTACTATTGACCTTAGATGTGACAGATTGTAATCTCAATTCAATATATATATTGTTAAGTATATCGTGGAGCAAGTGATGGCCCAGCACATTGGGTGGTGGGTCCCAGAAAAAAAAATAGAGCTGGGTACATACATGGAAAAAAAAGTATATATTTAAGCTGCAGTTGAATTCATGTGATAAAAGACGTAAAAAATCATGATAAAAAAATTGTATCTACACTTATACTGACACACGATTAGATGCTTGTGGTAACAATTATCTTACACATGTAATATTGGTGTGATTGCTATGTAGGACAGAGACATTTTTTTTTACAGAGGAAAAATCTAAATAATATATAAAAATACAAACTAAATTACTGTCATTATATGGCATACGATATAATGGCATACGATATAATATAGTGTATAGACAATAGAAAACTATAAATATCTTAACACTCAAACACCCACATTATATATCTTACAATTATAATTAAGTAATTGTTCCACGACAATTTTTTTTTTCATGAGTTTGTAGTTGATTATTTGTCTCTAGTTATAAAATCGTTAAGTTGTCGTAAATGCGTGTGCAAATGACCCCAAATGCAAAGTCCTAATACAAGGAGAAGTATCTGAAGCCTCCAAAGTTCGAACGGGCTTATGGCAAGGAGATCGTCTATCTCCGATGTTGTTCAACTTAGCCCTGGAGAAGGCAGTAAGAGCAACATTACAAAAAAATGGAGGACTCCGCGTCGAAATGATTCATAAAATTATTGGATACGCAGGTGATATAGCTGTCCTTGGAAGTAATCAAGAAGACATCGAGAAACTCGCTACGACACTGATAAGAGAGGCAGAGCCTATAAGTAAATGAAGACAAAACAAAATATGTGATGATATGCCGTCAATTCCACCCCAATAACACGATCTGCTTAGAAGGGAAATAATTCCTGAGAGTAGAAAAATTCAAATACTTCGGCTCCACAATAACCTCAATGAATGAACAACGGGCAGAAATAGACCAGCGTATAACTAGCGCGAACAGAGCTTTCTTCTACCTTTCTAATGTATTGAAATCCCGAAAAATATCAAACTAAGTCTGTACAATGCTATAATAAATTCAGTTCTAAATATGGCTGTGAGACCTGGACACAGGTCATAATTATAGGAAAAAAGTTGGAAGATTTGAAAGGAAAATCCTCCTGATGATAACCGGAGCGATCTCGAATCAGAATACTAACACACGGAGAAGAAACGCCAACAAATAACTGCTTACAGAAACTGGTAAATCAATATCCCATGATATGAAGGCACAGAGGTTAAGATGGATGGGGCATGTAGCTCGTAGCAATCCATCTGCAAGCCTCTACTAACAATGAATGCCCAATAGACCTGGTGCAATGCAAAAGACCTCGTGGAAGGCCATAAAGCAGATGGATACATAGAATCAACAGAGCTGCGTGGAGAGAAATGGAACGAAATAGCCCAAGACAGGCAAAGATGAAGCGGGCTTGTTAAGGTGGCAAAAAATTTACATGATCTGCAAAGCCAATAGAAAAAAATTATCGTAAATAAACTTGATTATTCAGTAATTGATTTTTTTTTCATTTTGTGAGTATGTTCTTGTTCCGTTTGTGTGTTTACGGTTTCAGTGATTTCTTGTCGTACATAAGATTGATATTGCAGCTATTAAATAATTTTAAAAAACGTTTTTTAGTTTAATCCGTATGCAAATACATTTCAATTAGTCGACTCGAATGAGATTGTAGGTAACGGAAAATAAAAGAATATGATTAAACCACTTTAAAAAAGCTATGTCTATACAATGTATGTCTGTAAAAAATATATTCAATGTACGTTCAAGACTTATATGTTTCGTAATATTTTTGATTCCTATCCTTCCAGCCTGAAGAGGACCCATGATACTCTGAAGGATGCTGATCGTGCCTTGGATTTGTGTATCAATTAGCAAGTTCCTTGCGCGCAATAAAACATAGCCAGGGCCCAATTAGCCTAATGCTTGGGGACCTCATTCAGCCAAGAGCCAGTTTTTGTTGACCCTTTGTGTCAGATTTGTGACTTCTCTCAAATATGTTTATGGAATCACATTGTGACCGCTTTGGGAGATTTTATTTGTTCCCAGGATGACTCACTCAAATAAATTGTACAGCTGACTTTCTAAGAGATATGTACTATTATTAATGATGTTTATTTAAAAAAATAAAATAAAAGACACAAAACACGGGTCATTTAACTTGTGGTTCACCCTGTTTGGTTATAAATCTTAATAATTTTTATAAAATGCATAATGTTTGTAATCACTTCAAGATCCTTTCTCTCTCTCAACATATGCTCAGGACCTGTAGAGAATCTGTCTGAGTCATATGAGCTATTCACTCATGAAAGTACGTGTAGTACTTTTAAATTACGCACAGGAACATGTCAACGGTTCTTCTTTTATCATTATAGAACCATGCATGAATCGACTTGGGCCGATTCTTAGGTAGGTAAGAATCACATCTTCTCTCCGCATTAACTTTAGATTTCTCTAGAGGGGTTTTACTTATGTTTCTACCCAACGTTGGCCTTAAGGAGGGGTAATTGTTCCGGGGTGTCCGTTGGTGGTGTGGGCCGATCTTCAAAGGCTCTTAGCACTTGTAAAAAAAAATAATAAAATAAATAAATAAATAAAATAAAATAAAATTGTTGAAGGAAATAAAATCAAAGTCTGACAAAATATACTTATTTTTTTTTTTAAATAAAGAGATTTAATTTTTAAGGGAAGTAGATGATGCCATTGAACAGAGGTGACGAATGTCTAAGGCCGGCACCGTTTGTATCATCCGTAATTAATTGTACCTCGTGTTGAACCATTTAATATTTCACTCCTGCCGTCCCGTATGGCCATTAGCTAGCAAAAATATAATTGACTATAATGACCAACAAATCAGCTATTTTCAACGTTATTGTTTCATTAATAATGCTTTAATATCAGATCATTTTGAAGGAAGAAAACATATTTCTTTTATTTAGTATAAGTTAGTAAATACAAATAATCTTCATATACACATTCATACCTGTTTGTTCTAAAGCTACAGTAAATTAATGTTAAAATATTTTATTTATGGCAGTATTCCAAATGATACTAGCTGAATCATGTATTTATTTGTATTATTATTCTAACCTTAATATCTCAATTTTTTATAGACGAAACACCCTATTTATTGTTAGTATTGAGTAAATATGTGTTAAGTGAATAAATCAGGTTTTTTAAATAAAATTGTTGTTAACATCTGTCAACTGTATTTTCTATAACCAATAAAGGTAATGCACATAATTGGAAAAATAAAAACCACAAAACATTAACTAAATTAAAATTGAAAAACCTTTGGCATTAGAGTTCAATTAAACGTGGACCAAATATTATATTGAATATCTCTTTTTTATTATACATCTAAATAATTATCCAACGTAACTATTGTTAGAACATAACAATATATATATATATATATATATATATATATATATATATATATATATATATATATATATGTGTGTGTGTGTGTGTGTGTGTGTGTGTGTGTAAGCCTTAACCTAGGATATGATAAATTTAATATTTTTAATTTTTGTTTTTTGTTGGAATTATTCTGCATTTGACATTTCTCATAAAAAAAACTTATGACAAGAGCAACTTCCATGTACCATCGGGCTTAGATTCTTTGTATCTTTATACACCTTTGGTAGCCCACTCCTCTCTGTGGCATGAAAAGGGAACAAATAAATTGGGGGACGTATATTTGGACAAGTAGGAATTGCCCTTGAGGCATTTGGTTGCTTTTGTCGTTTGTGAGGCCATGTTTCATTTTTGAATCTGAGTGCTTGTGAATGTCTTTGTCTCTGTTTTGCATCTCCTGATTAGCCTTTCAGGGTTGTTTTACTAAATAGATTTTTATTATTTCGATTTTTTAAAGTGAAAACTTCTTTGGGCGCACTTTGGACTGTTTCCGTGGGTCGCGGATGAGACTTTGTCCAACTGTATGTTGACGGGACCCCGAGTAAGATAGTCGGAGAAGGAAAAAGATAGCACAAAAAAAATAATGAATGTTTAGAACATTTGGACTAAAATATCTCAAAATTTTAATACCTCTGGGAATACAGAAACCAATTCGCGAAAGTCAATTTTTTTTTAATTAGTCATAAAAATAAGAAATTAAGTTTTTCTAGACGATTTTCTGTTGCAAACAGAAGATAAATTTAAAGTTAAAGTTAAACAGACTCCCGTTACAGAAGTTAAATAAAAAAAAAAAAATGGAATTGTCTTTAGATATTAGCAAATAAATTTCTATCAAAAGTATTCATCACTTATTTTAGTTATCACAAACCTATTGTATTCTTTTGAGAGTATGCTACAAATGGGGATCAGTCAGAGCTGAGTTTAATAGAGTAATTTATACACAATTTTAATTGTATTGTGAATAGTTGGAGTGATCAGTCAAATAAGAAGGCAAAAATAAATGATAATATTTATTTTGGCACGTTTCGACCTGAAGTTCAGTTCATCATCAGGACTGACTGCAAAGATGTAAATCGAAACAATGCTTGCCTTCTTATTTCACTGATCACCCCAACCATTCTTCTCTTCATTATTCACGACAGTCAACCATTTACCCACAATTTAATTGCATAGATTGTAAATTTTATTACTTTGTGACTATAGAAAAAAAAGGTATTTTGTATGCATTTAGAAATGTATAGGAGGACTAAACGAGAATCGAAAACTTGCTGATGGGGTAAAATCTCTCATGAATACCTTAACTGAGAGCGATGAGAGGTGCATTGAGGGACGAACTCGTTAAGAGACACAAAAGCAGGGGTTCCGCAAGGACAGGGAGACAGGCATGTCCTCTCTTGATCGTTGCTATTTAACAAGGATCCGACGACCTTCATCAATTTTTTTTTCCTCTGTCGAAGGTAATACCCATTCCATTCGTGGAAAGCTATAACAGGATCAGTTATATGGATAACAATGTAATAATCATACGATCAATCAACTTTCTATCGGTCAAGTTAGCATTCCCCTCTATTTTCCTTTCTCACTCACAATATATCTATTTCTAAAGATACACGTATATACGTACGTCTCTAATTCATAATTTATAAATGAAATATACACCCAATCATGTAATTGGAATTAATAAAAAATACTTTAAGAAACTGGCTAAAACTCTGATAAGAGAAGCTGAGCTATATACCGAAAATCCCACCCCAAAATCAACATCTACGTAGAGAGGAAATCGTTCCCGAAAGTAGAAAAATTGTAATAACTCGAATAACATCAATGAATGACCGACAATAACAACAACAATAGGAAATAGACCAGTATATAACATCAACAAACAAGACTTTCTTTTAAAGTTTTTGAAGTCACGAAAAATCTCAAAAAATTAAGAGTATACAATGCCATAATAAGGCCAGTTCTAACTATGCCAGAGGGACAAGCAAAGTACGGAATTCCTCTGGGTGATTGTGAATAGTGTGTATAGCTATTATTTCGCTTTACTTATCTTAATATTTATTTATATTTTCTGTAAATATGGAGTGAATGAACTCTTTTCTCACTCTAACTATTATCCAAATTGTGACAGAATGTTATGTTACTCCATAAAATAGTTTTAAAACAATTTCACTTGACAAAGTCTTGAGTTCTATTTCAATTGTTTGTTAGTTTTATGCCTTGAACAAAACCTTCATGCTACTTAACTCGAGGAGTTAAATCAGCCTTACAGTCCGTTGTACAGATCCCCTTTTATGGAATTATTAACAAACCCCTGAAACTTCGTAAATAGTTTTATCCCATCGTAACCTACAACCATTTTATTTTCGAAAATTTTTGGAATTGGGGCGTTTTCAATCGGGAGGGCCAATTGAAAACGGCCCAATTCCAAGATTTTTCGTAAATAAAATATTGGTGTTAAAATAACGACTATTTTATTTGCGGAAACTCTTAGAATTGGAGCGATTTCAATCTGGAGAGGATCAAACCTTTTCTCTTTAATTAGGCACTAAAAATCCGTATATACCCATTTACTTCCTACTTTGATCGTAAGATAATTTGATCACAAAATCGAAGGAAAGATGGCATTCAAAAATATTGGGCCGTTTTTCCTATATAACCTCGGTATTTTGAAAATTTGGGGTGTAAACTGCTCAATATTTTTGAAGGCCACCATTTCCTTCGATTTTGTGATCAAATTATCTTACGATCCAAGTAGAAAGAAAATGAGTATTTTCTAGTTATTAGAAACTAATTAAATATATAAAGTATGCTCCCCTCCAGATTGAAAACGAACCAATTCCATGAGTTTTCGTAAATAAAATAGTTTTAGGTTACGATGAGATGAAACTATTTACTAAAATGTTGATAATTCGATAAAAAGGGGTCTGTACTACGAACTATTATTGACTAATAAAATCTTCATGACACTAGTAATTTTATTTGGATAGAAACTTTTGTTTTTTTACATATTTTTTTTTTAATCTTAAACATTGTTTATTTTTCAGGTACAGTATTATATTATGATGTCTGCAAGTGTAAGAGCTATTGATGCAAGCCGAGATAGGACTTGGCTAAAGGACAGGACAGGGTGAAGTGGAGGATCGAAGCGTATGGTAATGCGGCCAGGAACGGACTTATATTAACCTCCGAACAATGCCAGGAATCTTGTGAATAAAACGGACCGAATCAGGGAGTGATAATGAGGAATCCAAGGCACGCCTCGCCAATATACACACTCCAGTCTTCTCGTCTTCCAGGGGTCTTCATAGGGCCATTGTATCATCAGCTCCCGAGGGATTAGGCCATGCCATCCCCATCAAATTATATCAAGAGAAACTAATTAAAAAGTCGAAACTCTACTTTTTGATGTAGGAAATATAATAGACCTTCAGACAAGTAGACAGATCATTCATAACTAAAAAAAATATCAAATCTACACCATATATAATAATAATAATAACAATAATAAGTTCTGGATTTATATAAAATCCATCCTTATATTAAAGAACTTCTGAGGAAATTGATGGACAACTGGAAAACAAAACTGAAAATAGGAGATAAGCAATCACCTGAATATATTACCATTTCAAGAGGTATATACCAGGGAGACTGCCTCAGCCCCCTTTGGTTTTGTCTTGCGATGGCTCCATTGTCAATTTTATTAAATCGTGAAGAAAATGGATACAAAGTAAAATTTAATGAATTAAGTGCAATGATCAGTCATAGCTTTTATATGGACGATTTAAAACTCTACGCAAAGAATAAATCCCAGCTCCAGTCTATGCTAAAGACAGTCAGCCACTTTAGTGACTCCATACAGATGTCCCTTGGGACTGAGAAATGCGCAGTTCTTCACGTTATAAAAGGAAAACCAAATAATTCCGAAAACTTGTTTAATGAAGAATATCATATTAAGAACCTTCAGAAAGAAGATAAGTATAAATATCTAGGGATAGAACAGCATTTAAAAATAGCTAGAAAGGATGTAAAAGGTAAATTGATAGGTTCATTTAAAAAAAGACTAAAGATCATCCTTAGAACACATCTTTCTTCAGGTTTAATGATAAAAGCTATAAATACATGGGTTATTCCTTCCTTATCTTACAGCTTTGGAATTCTAAAATGGTCCACAACGTCACTCCAGGAATTAGATAGGTTAATAAGAACAAGTATGGCGGGTTCCAGAATGCACCACCCGACTGCATCTATGGCAAGGCTTTACCTGCCAAGAAAGGAAGGACGGAGAGGTCTTACAAATATTGAAGAGTCTTGTCGAAATCAAGAAAAGAAACTAAGGGAGTACTTTAAACAAAGCGCAGTGCCGTGCCATAAGATAATCTGCAATCTCGATCGCTGGCACACTGCTCTACAATTAGCCTCTCATGAAACTGCGCCAATCTTTGTTACCGACAAAGACCGCATGGAAGAATGGAATCACCAGCTTCAGCAGACTGAAATAGATAAATCTTTGTCTGTTAGCTGGCTGGTAGGAGGAAGTCTGTTTCCCGAGACTGAAGGTTTTTTAACTGCAATCCAGGACCAGGTTATAGCTACCAGATCCTACTGGCGACACGTCTTGAAGCAACAGAATGTATCGGACAAATGTAGGCTCTGTGCAAGCACATATGAGTCCATTAAACACATAACTGGAGGCTGCGGAGCTCTTGCAGGTACAGAATATCTAAAAAGACATGACGATGTTGCCAAAGTCTATCACCAGGCAATTGGTCTAAAAATTAAATTATTAAACGACTCGAAGCCCTACTATAAATATTGCCCTAAAGGTATTTGCCAGAAAGATGACTTAAAATTATATTGGAACCAATCGTTCATAACAGACCATCTCGTGATCCACAACAGACCTGATATTGTATTAATTGACGGTAATATTAAGGTGGCTGAAATTATAGATATCGCTGTGCCAAATGACGGAAACATTAACTCAGTCTGCGCAGAAAAAATTCGGAAATATCAAGGTCTAGCAGCTGAGTTAAAAAGTTTGTATAAACTTAATAAAGTAACCGTTAGGGGCATCGTGATCTCCAGCAATGGCCTGGTACCGGTGTCTACTGTGGAAGCTACTGACAGGCTGGGCCTCCCAACTCATGTAATAAAGGAAGCTCAGAAAGCGGTGCTGCTGAATACTGCCAGAATTGTAAGAAGCTTTCTCAACATTCAATAGTAATTAAAATTGAACATACCTGAGGTGGTTGGAGTTGATTCTCCCCCTCTCGAGTAAACAAAAAAAAACCTTTTGTAGAAGTGTTGACAAATGAAACAATAATAATATGGTAGTAAAGATCTTTTCGGCTATAATGAGTAGTATTGCCCAAAATCGGTGGTCACTTTGCAAGACCAAGACCAAGACTGATAAAAAAAATCGATTTTTTAAATAAAAAATAAGGCAAAATAGTTACCAATACTCGACAATCTTATTTACAATATGTTAGAAATTGGTATAACCAATATACTTTTTCATTTAATTCCTCTCATTTTTCATTCGGGCTTAATTAAGATTCTTCTAAAAAAAATTACATTAATATCTCTACAGTAATAAGCTAATAAGTAACTGCAAGATTGTTGCGAGACTCTTGTGCAAGACCAAGACCATGACCAAGACTGAGTATGCAAGATGAATGATGTATCAAAATAAGAAGTGACTAATTATAATTTCAGATCTTTTAATCGCATTACAATTACAAAAAAAACATTGAAATACACGCTGTTCCAAAATATAGAGTTTCAAAAGAGACGGGATAAATTGTGAACTAAATATTTTGATGTGAACATCATGACCAGGTATAGTTCTTTAAAGACTCTAAAATGTACAGTTTTTGAGATAATGTATTCCATATACTAGCTATAGTGAATCTTGATGCCACGGTTGCCAAAAATTTCTTACCACATACAATTTTAAATATGTACACACACGCAAACACAAACTGTAACAGAAGCAAAAAACGCCTATATATATATATATATATATTGTTAGGAAATCAGTTAAAACTGGTGTTTATTTTTTAAATATTCAAATTATTTCACACTGTTAATAGTCAGATGTGAAAAAACTATTATTGTAGTAAATTGAGTGAAAAAAGTCTAAAACCTCTTTGAAATGTTTTGTGCTGGAATAAAAGTGAGTTTATTTCATTTCAGAGGACTAAAATTTATTTTATTCGAACCCTGGGATCAAATATAACGGTCAGTTATATATTATCCTGAACCCTTATATTATATTATATCATATATATATTGTATATCGTTACTCCTACTTCGCCATATCAGACATACGGGGAGTTGTACTAGAGGTTAATATATAATCTTATTAAGATAATCTATTCAATACACAAAATTTGAAGTAAAAATGTATTTAATAAGTGATTATTTTGTCCCAATGGAAAACATCAATGCAGTTTAATAGTTAACCAATAATACATAACTATCTCTGAACTTATACCAATCCATTGTTGTAATCGATGTTTGATGTATTAGAGCCTTGACCTGTGGTTTTCTCTTTAAGACAGTATGATTCTATTACTGACCTCATAGAAGTCATATTTTCATATTTTTCAATTATTTATTAAATATATTAAAGACTTTCTATCTATATTATTCCAAGCGTCCAAGCAACTATTCTCCACCACCAAACTTTTCAATACATGTTTAGTTCGTAGAGGACTTGACACAAAAAACAATATCTTAAGTTTTAAAATCTAAACACGTTAAAAGTATCCCACTACAACTATAGTCTCTTAGAAGCATTCATTAAAAATTATGATTATTCTCGAAAACGGAACATTTTCCGAGATTAAGGAGCAAGGCTTTATGAATTATTTGGAACTACAATGGGTCTCAATGAGAGTGTTGGAATCTTTAAAACACAATTGATCTCGTATCAATTCGTTCATTTGAAATCTTCTAATTTTTTAATGAGTTTTATTAAAAGTTTGAGTTTAATAATCGACATTAACAGGAATTCGACACTTCTCCAAGAAATTTTCTTTCCCTTGAAAATTCTTTTAACCAAATATATTGCTCCTGAGAACCGGAAAGCCTATCTATACTCCAGTTGACAGAATGGCTAACTCCAATTTCAACATTTTTTATTATTATTTTAGTGATATTTCTAGTTTATTCAGTTATTCACAGTCCTATATTTTAACACTGGAATGAGCTTACTGTCTGTAAAGATATTGTAAATTTTCAAGCTAGAAACATCCCTAAAATGACTTACTAAAAATGTTGAAATTGGAGCTAGTCATTCTGTCAACTGAGAGGCTCATATAGTTTAGATAGCAGAAGCTGCGGACAGAATGCCTTCGTTGAGAAGAAAACCTTTCAACAAGATCAAGCCGCATGGGATCTGTTTGTTGTTGCCTTGTTGACATCTGTCTTCTTTGAGACACAGCAGATACAGGCCAGGAACAGCTCAACTCGCAGATAAATATTACACTCTTAAAATGTTACTTATATATCCCTCGTCAAATTGAACGATGACGATACTACAAATAACACAATTTTAAAAGATAGGCAAAAAATCATAGTATGCGGTACAAACCCATTTTTCTCAAATTCTTTTTTTTTAACGATTTTATTGAATATTAATACAGTCTACCACACTGCAGGACAGTGGTACAAGAGCTACAGTATTCTTTCAAAAAATATTTACAGGCAAAGGAAAAATAAAAATAAATAAGCCAATTTTTTGTTCCTTCGACTTATCACCCAAGTGTGGAAGCCAAAGCGGAGTTCCAGGAGATCCCACTGCTTCTTTCCCGATACGCTTGTCGGAAATCAGTGGATACTGATAGAAGGCACTAGAGCAATAGAGCAATAGAAACTCATCTATAACTTCAGGAATTACTTCATTTTATAGAAACCTACAATTTTTTTATTTAAAAAATTCCCAGAAACAAAGCGTGCGAAATATGGATTTCGGTATACGTTATTAATTTATTGAGGTACTAAAAACGCATGAACATCCTTTTATTTTCCACTTGATTCGTTATATAATTTGACTACAAAATCGAGGAACAAAAATATTGTTGCCTCGACATGTCAAAATAACGAGATTATATAGACCGAAACGGCTAAAAAGTTTACCGAACTCCAGATTGAAAACGCTCAAATTCGGAGAATATTTGTAAGTAAAAATTCATTAATTACGAAAAACTTAAGCCATTTACAAACTTTCAGAAAAGCATTAATAATTTGATGGAAAAAGAACTGTACTACGGACTATCAGAATTATTATTGTATGCATCACATATTATTTTAAATTGA